AGAGAGTATCTGGCATGATAAATGGTCAGATGAAGGGCGAAAACTGAATAAAAATCAAGAATTTAAAGAAAATACCTTGGCAACATCAGGGGGTGAAATGGAAGGACTTACATCTTCTTCTGTCTTGGAAGCATCGGTTATTTCAACCGAAATCGGCTCCTTTTGAGGATCGACCAATGAAGGTTCAGTTGATGCTGACTTGAATGCCTAGGACAACAGTTCCGCACCCAGAGCCGATTGGAATGCAATGGTTGATAACTGTGAAGAAAGATGATTAGAAGTTGAATATCATTTTGAGGAAAAAACAAATTGTTTACCTGAGCAACTGATGGTCTCGTTCTACGGAGTCTTTTCCTAGTAACGGCTTTCTAGGTTGCCCCTTGGACCGACTTGCGCTTTGAAGATTGATACGTCATGATCATGGGGGCAGCATGAGTTTTCATCAATTTCTTCAATGGAGGTGGCTGATCCTATTCTTGAAACTGGGCATGGTGGCTGATAATCTATAGGATACCCCTTCCTATCCAAGCTTGGAGGATTGAATTTAATGTCCTGAGAGGGTCGGTTAGAACAGTTAGCAAGAGAATTCATTGAATAATTTTCTGAAAAAAGAAATGGTAAGTTATCTCTCCGTTAGAAGCAAATTCCCCATCCAGAGCTATGCACAAAGGGTGGACCAACCCACAGAAGAGATAGGAGTGCCATTCTTACCACCAGGAGTCAAAGAGAGTGGAAGAGAAGCTGACTCTGATCCAGTCATGCAAGTAAAGGGAAGGAAGATCTAATCCCAATTGAAAGACTCTAGAGGCTTCTATCACCTCATTGATACCCTCTCTTAGCTTCAGTGTGTTCTTGAAGAACAATTGAGGGGGGAGTTGACCAAGACCAAACTGACGGGCTACGAAAGACGGATTGTAAAACTCATAAGTTGGAAGGTTGCCTAGAAGGAAGAAACCTGTAGCCATTTTACCACGGCCATGACGAAAGTCACCTAGAAGAACGCAAGGTTTGATAAAGGAATTAAGGATTGCAGCTGTCGTTTCGTCTAAACAGTCTGATTCAAATCGAAATTTGAATTGAATGACCAGCTTGTTGTTCTCATCCTCATCATAGGGTAGCCAAATTAAGATATATGCATCAAATCCTCTATAAAACTTTTTGAAGAGATGGCCAACATCGACATCAATTGTTATGGCCGATGCAGCCTCACCATAGCTCATGCACTAACGGGTTCTTCCCTCTTCGCATCTGTATTCCTCATCAAAGTTGGAGGAAGGAAAACTCAGGTTTCTAAGATTAGGCCTTACAATCTTGTGCATATACAGGTTCAGCCATAGCTATATCAACCACCAAGGGCCACTAATAGTATACACTGGTTCATTCTTCAACAACTGGGCAGCCACCTAGTGCATCAGATGATAGGCAGCTCCTAACAGATACTTTCTAAGGGGGCTATCCTTACCCACTGTCAGATGCTCTGCCATAAGTTTGTGATTATAGGTTGGACCACAAGATGACCCGCAGAAGATGAATCTTTCTAGCCACATATTCAAGAAAGCCACATATTCTCTTTCGCTAACAACTAATCCGTCTCTAATATGGTTTAGAATGTAGCTTGCCCATCCTGTGTAGTCTGATATCTGGGCCATTTTTTTGGAACGGGCACTTAAGTAATCATAAGGCTGCATTGATCCAGTTATTCTAAGGCCGGTCAACATGTAAACATCGGCCAGGGTGATGGTCATTGGACCGTGACCAAAAACAAAAGCGTTCAGGGTATTGGACCAGAAATAAGATACAGAAATCATGAATGAATTATTCCTTTCCATTCCAGACAAGAGCATCAAACATTGATTCAAATCATAAACCTCCCAATCTCTAGCCTTTTTCTCGGATACCCTACGAAACCAGTCTCGCCATCCCTTAGGCATTTTGGGCCAGTTTCTGAAGGGAGTTTTGGTGTTCCAGGAGGACGAATCCACTGCATATTGTTTGAAGGTGATTTGGTTGGTTTCTTGATGGATAAAATCAGATGGATCAGGGTCACCCATAGGCCCAAGAAAATAAACATTGGGAGCAACAACTGATGAATCAAGATTTCGTTCCTCATTTCCTAGAAATCGGATGAAATAAATTTGAGAAGAAAGGAAATACAGGGTAGCAAACGGTACTTGGGAGATGAAAACTTGGAAGCATACCTCAGGGACGTGGTCGCTGGTCGCCATTGCAGCCGAAATGGATTTGATTCTAAGGGGGATCGCTTGAATAAAAGGTTAATGGGACAGAGGATTCGCTAGGGCTGAGGTCTTGGTGATGGCGACGTTGGCTATTAAGATTTGCTCGAGAAAGAAGGAGAAAACGAATGGGCCGAGTAAGTTGGATACAATACTGTTGAGATTTTATATAAAAACTCGCATCGAGAAGTCGGGAGTCGCACGGATATCTCGAAACAAAAAACGGTTATGCGACATGGTAAATGAGATAAATTGGAATTTTGGAATAAAATTATTTTTATCTCAAAATTGGGGGCATGTGTTTACACCAAAATTTAGGAAGGAGAACGCGGGAACTCGAAGCTTTCAAGATCGTGTCAATCGGGGAATCGATTGCATAAGGATCGATATCAGCTGATTCAGATGCGGCACCGGAATCAGCTCTCTTCGAATGACGCCAGCAGATAACAACAATGAGCTACGGTTGGCGTCGGGGAAAACATGTCGGACTCTATAAAAAGGGAAAGATTAGTGTCCAAATTATCTTAAATTAGGAATGTTTTATTTTATACCAAAGATTGTAATGAGTCATACTTGAGTAGAATTCCTACTTAAGCTCCGGGTATAAATATTGAACCCTGGCTATTGTAAAGGGACATCCAATCAATCAAATACAATTTACTTTTTTTTGGCTCCATGCCAACCCTTAGGAGTAGGAGTAAAGTAGATCTCAGCGAGTTCTTCAATAAGCAGGGCTGCATCGGTCCGACCGACCTCCGACTTGTCTGTAAGTACCGTCATGGCTTATACTTTTGTTTATACGGCTGCATCGGTTAAGTTCGACCTCCACTGCGAGCTCTAGTATAAGCTAGTTATCGACTCTTGTCTAGTTCAAGTACGGTTGCATCGATTCGATCGACCTCCACTGCTCGAATTAGATTAAGGTCAAGTTATCGGCTCTACCTAAGGGTGGCGTCCTTCGGATAGATTCATTAAGTTATCGATCTTGCTGATATTCTTATTGTTATTAGTTTGCAACAACATCAATCTGCAAGGTCGAGATCGATTTAGATCGGCCTCATATCCTTTCAGTCCGTCGTTCGCTTTGCCACAAAACGGTGTTTCTTACTCTGAGCGATGGGTTATGTCTCATCGGCTGTTCTGTTTCGATCTTGATCGTGCATAGTACGCGGTTAAGGCACGTATAATCTTGAAGAGGTTTGCTGGCTAGTTGAATCTGGTCTATAGTTCGCTATTATGGTTGCAACGATCTGGTCGATCTCCACTGATGACACTGTAGATTGGAGGACGTTAGTTGGTAGGTTTGTTCTCGATCAGGCGTGACCTTAACTGTTTGCTATGGCTGCATCGGCTAAATAGCCGATCGTCTATGCTTTAACGCCTACAGTGTGCGTCCATGATTCTGTTAAGCGTGAATAGATATGTGTACTTTAAGGGTTTGATTTGTTATCTTTATCACGACTGCATCGATCCGGTTGAACCCCACTGTTAGAGATAGTTGGTTAAGTCTGATAAGTCCATAGGTTTGTCTATGTGAAATAGTCAATTGTTCACACGCTGTAGTCCCTTTTTACCTGAATTGGTTATTTTAGTCGATTCATCCGAGCCTTCACGTATAGCATGTCTTTCGGAAAGCGTGTCGAAGTATAGATGTTTTTACGGATTCTTCGGTTTTAGTTTGTTATTATCATCATAGCTGCCATCGATCCGGTCGAACCTCACTGTTGATGGTAACAGATTAGATTCAGAGTGTTTGTAGATCCATTTGTATTATACAGTCGATTTGTTCGCATGTTATATCCTTTCTTGATTAGATTCATCGGCTCAACGATTCACACTGGTAATTTCCACCTAGCTGATGAGCTCATTTACATTTGCGGGCATTGTATTTATCAATATAAAATCAATCGCGATCCATAAGTTTTACTATCCGTAACAACCGATTTCAGTGTGTATCAGCTATTTAGTCGATTTTCCCGTCTGGCTGCTCCCGAAGCGGCACACTTGGAACTGTCTGGGCAAAGACCAGCATGTTCCACCTTAAATTACTGATAAACTTTCTCTCCTAGTCAATTACAAGTCAAATTGACTGACACATCTCGAGAGAAATTCGCAGGATTAGTTAACCCTGCGTTGATCTCCAGACTCATCATAAGCGGATCCTTCCTTACTGTGTGTCGACACATTTTCACATTTTCGTGCCTGACTGATAGACATCATGTAGAACGTCCATCCGAGAGTCAAAAGCCATGTTTGGAAGGTTAATTATTAGCGAGAGCTAAAACTATCATCCGCGATTCTAGTAGTAAACTAGAGGGCATCCAAACAGCGCGATTCCAGTAGTGAACTACAGGGCATCCAAACAGTACGTAATAGAATTCCAGTTCAACTCCGGAGATTGCCGAGTTGGTCAAAAGGTCTCGAGGGTTCAAATCCCACTCTCAACATACATCAGTTTTCTTTTCATCATTTTCTTTTGATTTTAATAATACCCTCCTACAGCATTTGTCAAAGCTCCAAAGTCATGCGCATCCTAGGTTTTAAAATTAAATGTGTGCAGCACTAGAGGCTTGAGGAACTGAGAAAGGCACTTTAAGTCTCATCAATTATATAAATCGTCATCTCGCTCCTATTCCTAGCATGAAGCAAAAACTCCATCCTTCTCCATTGAGGAGGGTGCACAGACAGCACAGTACAACTAATGCGCCAGAACAAGGTCTTACTAACATGTGCCTCAAAAATACTGTGAATGGAATGCCAACAGACCTATGATGATTTTCTGATGGAAAGATCCATGTGAAGATAGGCAATGAAGGCAACAAAAAACAGCAACACTGCAGATATCAGCATCAATGGTTCTGCCAGCATGAAGATCGGATTGAATTCATAGTACACCTAAAGTTACCATAATGTTCCACAGATTAGAATCATCAGATGAAATAAGGCGGGTTGCCAGCTAGGCAGCGATCCTGACCACCAAGCGCTCAAAATCGACGGCTTGGATTGCTGCCTGGCCAGGCAACCTTTGCCTGGGGTGCTGAAAGCAAACAGGCCTACATGGCCTCATCAGAATGTGAACAAGTACCTGGAAAGGAACGTTGTGCTCTCCTACAACATTTTTCTTCTTCAGTACAACTGTCGTCCTTCCAACAACATCAAGGTATGAATAACTAGTCTGCATCAGTTAAGAACATCATAATCACAAAATACTCTCTCATTAGCAAAGTTTGATAAAGGCACTGTTCCATTTGCAAAGGAGCAGATGCTCAGACTTGTTTTGGTGGACTTCTAGTCCTCCAAGATAGGAAACTACAAGGCTGACATAGAAACTAAGCCATGACAGCCCCCAAACTAAGTCGAAATACAAAGTTCTGGGACTCAGCAATATGCACAGCTCACGATAGAAACTAAACCAGGACAGCAAGTGTTGCAAAGGCCCTACCAGATGCTAGCTGATTCCATAGTGTACACTTACAATGGTTCATCTGAGATTATATTTTATCTATCCATTGTTGTTGGTGTGAATCAACAGTAGCGTGCGCCAGAAGGAAAGTTGGGCATAAGAGGGGAGCGTAGTTAATGTTAGGAAGGAAAGGTGAGATTACCTCAAGATGTTTCTCTGTCACAAAAGGAACTACAGGCTGTGGATTTTTTGATCCTTCAGGAAGCACAACCTGCAACATTACACGATTTGAGAAGATTCTGCTATATGTGAATACCAAAAAGAACAACTTTTGATATCTCATCAGCACTCCTGGTAATATTTCTCAAAATCTTGTAACGGATAAAAATAAAAAGTTGGACTAGACAAGGAACATGGCAGTCAGCACCGGGGGGGGGGGCGTGGGGGATGATGCTCCTGAGATTGCGTTTACACTAGCAAGAAATGAGAAGCTGCTACATATCCAATTATTTGTTTCGAGCTAGGTTAGTAGTACAAAAGATGCTCATCAGAAAATATAAACCTTGTTCAGACTTACTTTAACTGTAAGATCGTCAACCACAGTATCCAATAGAGGGCAACCAAAAGTAAGGTTGATGTAGCGCCGGCCATCAACTGACTCAAAGACAAAATCTTGCAATGGAAGACCATAGCCAATGGTGAACGTGCAGTGCCAGCCACCAAATAATGGATATCTGGGCTCAATTTCTAGCTCGGACTGAGTTAAAAAAACATGCTTTAGTTTGCCATTTTACATTGAAGTAAAATAAAAGGGCATCTTCCAGTAACTAGAATAGCAATTCATTAAAATCTAATGCTTGTGGAAACATATCTTGTACCTTGTGTGAATTAGTGCGCAGATGGGATGAGGAGATGTTACCAATCTCATCACGATAGTAAACTGAATGAACCCGAGGTGGCAGCCTTACAAGAAGATTCTTAAAGGACGAAGCTCCACTGACAGATGGCCTAGATTGATACTCAAGCCTAGCAAGAAAGTTCTCAATCACTAACTATGAAGCATTTAACAAAAGCTAGAAAAGCTGCTCGAAACATGCTTTTCAGCTTTTAGTTTATTTCCTCAGGCTCAACAGATGGATTGTTTGTTTCAGCTTCTGGCTTCTAGCTGGCAGAAGCCAGTAAAAAGCTAAAACAAACAGGCCATTACTTGAACTAATGAGTTGCTTATACTTCACTTCATACTACAGGTTCAAATCAAGAGATTCAGATATCCATTTCCATACCACATTATTTACTTAACAAATAGAAACATGCCTATGTGTATTTAACATGGCATGTGCTACATATCCAAAGGCAAAGCAGTGCTGGAAGGTACCAGTCCATATATTATTACGATTCGTCATTACCAGATCTATATCATTGAAAAAGGTGAACAAGTTGAGAACAGTTGACTAGATGATGTCCGGGAAAGCATCCCCAACTCACAAATGCCACTGGTTCTTGCTGACATGTGGCACTGTGGCCCACATGTCAGTCTGACAGCCAACAGAATTCTTCATAGGAGATAATTTCATAGTCGCATTTGTCTCGTATCCAATGCTATCTTTAGGACGAGATAAGCTATAGAGATGGGAGTGTAAAGACTATAACCTGGAAAAGACTCCTTTGTGATTTAGCACATGCCGTTTCAGTTTATACTGCTCGGTGATTTGGATGTTTCCCCAGTGAGAAATCTCCACCTTGCGTACAAGTTCCTCAACAACAGCAAATGGACGGTTATTCTCGTAATGCACAAGAATTGGCAAATAGGAGTTTGGCATCTGGTTATTGTATGTGCCATATTTCACTTCAGAACCAGCTCGTGTGGTAGGATCAACCCTTGTGAAGGATTCAATCCTATTGCTTGGCATTTTGATGTAGGTAACCTGCTCCAGGACATGGTAGGGCGAGAGAAGCACCGCACTGTCACGGTAGTAAACCAGCTGGGACTCTGACTGGCTAATCTCAGCGGGAAAGGGCTCTAAAGAGTGAGTGAGCATGTATAACACTTCTAGAGTGGTTGCATCGCCAGGTTTCAGAGGAGTGCTGAGCAGAACAGAGTAGAGGCGAGGGGCATCAGGAGCGGTGGTGGCGAGCTCAGAGGGTTCGATCGAGAGGGGTACGAATGCCTTCTTCTTGCGCTTCCCCTCCGCTCTCGTGGCCTTGACAATAGAGAGATGTTGAACCTCTGTGGGCGTGAAGGCGAGAAGAACTCGTGATGCTTCAGAGGCAGTGGGAGCATTCTCGACCTGGCACAAAGGGATTGAAAAGTTGTGGAAGATGCCTATGCTGGAGAAAGTAACAGGTGCTGGCTGCCAATTTGAGCAAAAGGGGCGAGTAAGACATTACCTTCAATGTTAGGAAGACTTTGACGATGGGACCCGTGAGGTCGATCTGCAGGCAATCGAAATTTGTAGATGAAGAAAATGTCATACATAATAACGATTTGAGAGGAAGAGATTTGGCACGGATAAAGGGGACTTTAGCAAGGGATCGCCCTCAATCTCTCTCTTAAACCCTGAAGTGAAGCTTCCGCCACCGATACAAGTGAATCAGAGCGGGTCATTACAGCGCAGGATTTGGATCGAGAATTGTGACTATATACTGCAGTATATCTAAGCAATCGGGTCTTTCAAAGAAAAAAAATATATGCATCTAAGTAATCTAATCTCGAAAGGGAAGCTAATAAAAGGGTCCAGTAGCAGTGATCCACTTGACACGAGCCAGCAACCTGACGGCCTGCAAGATGTGATTTAGGAAGAGGGAGAAGAAGAAGACGTGGAGGAGGAGGAAGATATACCCAGGGTCAGGAGAAGATGAGTTACAAACCCTTTTCTCTGCAGAGACGACCCGGATGCCGTCCTCCGGCGGCAAGGAAGAGCAGGAAACGGCGGACGCGATGACGAGCAGGAGGAGGGTACGGGTGGCTAGGGTTCGGAGGGACAAGGGCAACATCACGTCTCGGTGGTCCATCATCGCCGGCGGTCTGGCTGGATGGGGACTCACCTTGGCTTTGGGAATTGGTTTGGGACTTCGGGAGAGAGGAGGGAGAGATCTGGGAGGGGGGCGTGGGCCCACCCGAGTGCGTCGTGCGTGACCTGTTTGTTGACTGAGGGGCTGCTTGGTTTTGGAGCCAGCCTAGCCTGGCCTCGCCGAGCAAGGCAACAGACCAGGACAGGACAGCGAAATTTGCTCGCCAGGCAAGGCAATTCTCTATCTCTTCTCTACAACAACAAAAAAAATAAGTAACGATATCGTCTTACCGCCTCGCCTTAACCGCGCCCGCGTTAAAAAGACCGACCATTGGCAAGCGCCCATTTCCAACGCCAGCACGCCTAGAGCCCGAAGTCTTCCGCCTCCTCACACGCCTTCGAGAAAAACCGCAGCAGCCCTCTCCGTCTCCTCACACCCTTCGACCCTTCCCAATCTTTTCGACGTTGTCCCTCTCCGTCCACGCACCCCTAGTAAATTTATAATTATGCCCTTCCCAATCTTCCAAGGTTTATACGGGTTCGGGCCGAATGTCCCTACTCGTCGGTCTCGTCGCTTGCTTATGTTATTACCGCAAGCTTAGCCGACAGAGAGGGACCGATCCCGTGTCTCCGATGGAAGGGTCCCTCCGCCAAGATTGTGGCCCTTCCCAATCTCGTCCTCTCTATGCCTTCCTTGTCCAACAGTTGTCCGTTGAAAGTCTACTTTGTTCGCCCTCTGCCCCTCTCTTCCTGCGGTTTCAAAAAGAAAAATACCCCAGAAGGTCCTCCATGACCCACTTCGCTCCTCCAAGCCAGCCTTTGTAGACATGGCCACCGGTGTCGAGGTTGGCACGCTTCAGCAAAATCATTGCTCTACCAAGAGGACAAGATCGGCCCCGCCTCTCTGTTATCGCCGATGCCTACCCTTGGGGAGCGGATGGATAGAATGCTTCTTAGAAAATTTGCATTGAGAGTTATGTTGATGTGACCTCACATAGGCGGACCAAGGTACGCGCCCACAACACTATTCAGCCCCGCCATACCGAAGGGGTCCCCTTGCCGGAAGGGTCTAGTCGGTGAGTACCACCCCTACCTTCCCATGGTCGATGACCTTTGACCCGACTTTCTTAGACTCGGCTATCATCATGAGGAGCGTGCGAAGAAGGCGGAGGCAGCTTTTGGACATCGGTTGAAGAGGTCCTCAAACGAAGTTGTGGTTGGGCTCTAGCCCCTATTCGTCGGCGGTTGGTCCCAGCATTGGGGCTTCTATGACAAAGCCCTCGGACGGGCGAGGCCGAGCTTTTAGCCCTCGGCCGAGGCGGAATGGCCCATTAGTTTGATCCGGCAGCCGCTTAGCAATCGGGTGGGTGGAGCGTGGGCAAGGCAAAACCAATCTCCGTCGTTCGGGCAAGAAGCCAACTCCACTCTGTTCGGCGTTCGATGGTTTATTAGTTCCATCTCCTTGGGTACGCTGATATTAGGTCCCCGATGTGGGTCTACTCCCAGCCCCACGCAAGCTTAGCCACATCCCCGACCACTCCCTCCGCCTCCATTGTGGCCCTTCCCAATCCTCCTATGCCTTCCTTGTCCAACAACGCTGGTCTACTCAAGGCCCTCTGTCCCTCTCTCCCTCGCGATTCAAAAAGAACATGCCCTGTGACCTCCATGACCCACCTATTAGCAAAATCATTGCCTACCAAGAGGACAAGATCGACAAAGTGCCCTTTATGCGCCTCCTACCCCTCGTTGGATAGAATGCTTCTTACCATCTCATTGAGAGTTATTGGTATGAAGCCCTAGTTTGGTTTTGGATAATTGATGAAACCACCCCTATCCTTCACCAATACTAGGGTACCTTTCGAGACTCGAGGAGCGAGCTAAGAACCATCAACATTGATTCATCCGGCGTGGTCATTAGAGCGTGACTAAGCTCCAGTCTAGCCAGCCCCAATGGACCATTAGTTTGATCCGCCTCAATAGGGCAAGTAGGGGGCAAGGGCTCACGAAGGCCAACTCCACTCGAAAGGCTCGCTGGCGTGTGACTCAGATCGACACCCGACACGGCACTCTGTGACTCTGCTCCGTCTCCCGCCAAATCTCGCTTCTAAGCGTGGGCTCTCGCCTCCTCAACAGCCCTCCCACCTAGGCCAAAGACGTGCTATGCCTCACCCGCCCCCTGACGATGTCGGCTCGCCACCATCTCCCCAACACTCTAACAATTGATGAAACCCCTCTTGCCTGGACACCAATACTAGGGTACCCAAGGGTAGGAGCTAATAACCATCAACATTGATTCATCCAAGTGGTCAAGAGCCAACACCGCTCCAACCGACCGCTAGGTGCTCAAGCTCCCTTGCCCTCCTCGAGGGTTGTTTCCGCCTCACCCACTCGACACCAAGGCCACGGGCTCCATCTCACCCGATCTCTCGGGGCGGGCTCCTGCCTCGAGGCGCGGCTACCTCACCCGGCCTCGGGGATGGGCTCCGCCTCGATCCACCTCATGGGCTCGACTCGTCCGACCTCTCGGGCGGGCCTCGGCTCACCGAGGTCTTTGCCTCACCCGACCTCTTAGGTTTCCACCTCGCCCGTCCGAGGGCTGTTTACGCCTCACTCGCCTCTAGGAGGGCTCTGCCTCCACCTCACCCGACCCCTTTGAGGGTCTTGGCCTCGCCTGACCCTCCGGTTTCGCCTCCGCCTTGCCTAGTCTCTAGGAGACTCCATACCGCCCATACAACCACACTAGGTCCAAGCGAATGAGCCTGGGTCAAAGCTCTGACATCAGGGAGGTGACCGGCATGCCCCGATATAACCCATGGCTATGATGGGTCATACCTGGGGATTCACATCAGGAACAGCATTGGGCGTACTGGTGCTGTTCTACCTAACCCTCGTATGAACACTGATAGGCGCATCAGTTTACCACGATGTCTGCTAGGACAGAGTGGAGCGCCACGACCGGGAGATGACACTTATGTATGGCGCTAGTGACGGATAGGTCCGCGACGTGGAGCTGTCCCTATTGACGTCTATAGTGTTAGCGGGACCCGCATGAAGGAAAAGAAGGATCAGGCGATCCTAGAGGACTTCTTCTCCTTCTCATTCTCCTCTTCTCTCTCCACTGTACCCCGTGCTTTCCCTTGGCCTATAAAAGGAAAAGTAGGGCGTCCCATGAAGAGAACTCGAATCCAATCGAATCCCGAACCGATCAGAACACACAAGCACACAGTCGAGAGGTGACCGAGCTCTTGGCATCCATTCGTTCCTTTCACCAGAGACTTGGGACTTGTCCCTCTCTCGACCGTTTGTAACCCCTACTGCAAACTTTTAGTGCTAGTAACATGAGTAGCAGCAACGAACTAGACGTAGGGACATTCTGCCTGAACCAGTATAAACCTCGTGTCCTCTTAGCACACCATCCGAGTCAGACACACAATATTAGAAATTTACTAGTCGGTGGCAACTCGAAACACCGACAGTTGGCGCACTAGGTAAGGGCCTTTTGCGTGTCTCGACATCCAACACCAGGCCTTGGATGACTAGTCACAACATGATAAGGACATGACACCCATGCATATGACCATGTTTGGCGCATGGTATGGAGGGGTAGGAGGACAGCAAGGGTGTCCAAGTCAAGAAGGAGGCCTGAGGCTAATTCGGTTCGAGTCCCCGAGGTGGAGGCCATCCAGCAACTCAAGTTCGAGTGCCGCCTCGGTCTCCGCTGACGATACCAAAAGATAAAGTGCAAAGTCTCCTAGGGCCGATCTGGACTCCGTTTTTCGATGATCCACATATGATTGGAAAGCTAATTTGATATGAGAAGCCAATCTGGATTGGTCTCACGTCAAAATCCCTTTTCAATCATATGTGAATCGTCCAAAACGGAGTCCTGCATCCAGAATCCCCTAGAGACCAGGTTAAGGCATGATCGGGTCCGGAGGCCGAGGCATCTTTTGAGTTGCTTTGGGCCTCCACCGAGGACTCGAACCAAATTAGCCTCGGGCCTCCTTCTTGACTTGGACACCCTTGCTGTCCTCCTACCCCTCCATACCATGCGCCAAACATGGTCATATGCATGGGTGTCATGTCCTTATCATCCTCCCCTTCTTGACGAAAAGCCGTCCTCGGCGTCGATTGTGCTTGAAACTGATCCTGCACAACACAAAGGAGAACGGGGTTGCAAAGACAAAGGGAACTGAAATAATTGTGAGAAGGAAGGTGTCATGTCCTTATCAGATCCGGTCGACCTCCACTGCGATTCTGGTATAAGCTAGCTATCGACTCTTGTTTAGTTCAAGTACGGCTTCATTGATCCGATCGACCTCCACTACTCGAACTAGATTAAGGTCAAGTTATTGGCTCTATCTAAGGGTGGCGTTCCTTCGGATAGATTCATTAAGTTACCGATATTGCTTATTGCTTTCATTTTTATTTGATTACAGCAATATCACTTCTCCCGATTAGGATTGATCTAGATCAGCCTTATATCCTTTTTAATCCATCGTTTGTTAATCTAAATTTGATCTAATCTGCACTTTAAACGATGAGTAATGTTTTATCGGCTGTTTTATGTCAATCTTGATCGTGCATAGTGTGCGGTTAAGGCATGTCTGATCTTGAGTAGATCTATTGGCTAGCGAAAACCATTCCATGGCCCATTATCACGGTCTGTGTGATTCTGCCTCACACCCCACTATTAACACCATGGAGTGCGGATTATTATTTGGTAGATCTGTTCCTGATAGGGCTTGACCTTAACTATGCGCTATGCCTGAATCGGTTGTTTTAACCGATATCGAGTGCTTTCACGAACAGTTCACGTCACGAGACCGTTGAAGTAAAGATAGGTTGAAAGATGTGTTAGCCCCATGATCTTATTATTGTATTATGGCCTGCATGATTCTGCCTCATGCCCCACTGATATTAGTAATAAGTTAGGGTCGTCGAATCTATTATTGTTTCTACGGCCTGCATGATTCTGCCTCATGCCCCACTAGTCATAGCGAT